AAGTTCATCAGCTTGGATCAGCTCAGTCTTCTTCACCCCCACCCCTGCCTTCTTTCTTCTGCTGGTTGAGCTCTGATCATCCAGTCATCCAGTCCCGGTCACGTGGGTGTCATCTGCAAGTGTGGGTGTTCTTGTGTACATGCCCTCTCTTCCCATTAGCCGGCAGCTCCATTCTCCACTTGAGTCCTCCGTGGCCATGTCACTGACTCTGGGCCCAGGAGTCCTTGGGTCTCCTTTCACTACTTGCCAACCAGGTCCCCAACTGGGTCCACAGAAGCCCTCTGAATATTGTGAGGCTTAGCTCGCCGCTTCATTGTTGCTTTTATCCCATTTCTCCCCAACGGTGATGCGTGTGTTTACCAATCCAAGCGTGCATTTCCACCGAGTGTCAGTTTTTGTTTTTTTTGTTTTTTTTAGGGGGGGTTTATTTTTAAGATGAGTAAAATAATCCCTGTTTTATTTATACTTTATGAAGATAAAATGACATGTATATTAAACATAAAGCATGTCTTAATGATTAAAATTCTAAACAATGTCTCAGAATTGAATCGTGAAATATATAGGCAAAGAATAATCTCAAGACTTACATATTGAATTTTTTCTTATTATTAAAGTATTAATGTAATTTTGGAGACCTAGTGTTGTGCTGTGTGTTAATACACTGGACTGCAAAGTCAGTTTGAATCATAAGATCGGCGGTTCAAGCTCACCATCAGAGACCCTAGGATATACAGGGTTGCTATGTGTCAGAACCAATTAGACAGTGCTTAAAAACAATAATGTAATTTTAAATTATTATATTTGTGTTAGATTCTTTGAAGGATATTTACATAAAGAATCTGATTGATTTCTATGGCAGAGTCAAATTGAAACAAGAGATAGTCACTTAAGAAATAAAATATAGATGTCAAATAAACAGAAAACAACTAATGCAGGTGAGGATATGAAGAGACTGGGGCCCTCCTACACTGTGGATAGGACTGTAGAATGTTTCAACCACTGTGGAAAATAGTATGGTGTTTCTTCAGAAAGTTGGAAATAAAAATACCATTGACCCTGTAATCCCTCTACTTGGTATAGATCCAAAAGAATGAGAGCCTGGATATGAATAGTGCTATGTACACTGATGTTCATTGTGGCACTATTCCCAATAGCAAAAAAGATGGAGATAACCTGAATGTCCATCAGTGGAAGAATGGATAAACACATTTTGATTCATACACACAATGCAACACTGAAGAATAACAATGAAACTGCAAAACACCTCATAACATGGATGAACCTGGAGGCCATATGCAACTAGTCAATCACAAAAGGACAAATATTGTATGGGATCACTATTGTAAAAACTCAAAAAAATATTTTCATGCTAAAAGTAACATTCTTTGATGGTTATCAGGGGTGGGAAGGAGCAAAAAAGAACTCAGTGGCTAGAGAGTTGTTTTTGTTGTTAAGTGCTGCTGAGTTGGTTCTGACTCATAGCTAGAGTGTAGACACATGTTAACTTGAGTGCAGCGATGAGCCATATACAGGAAGAGGGGGGTTGGCAGAAAAATGAAGAAAACAAGTGAAGTCACTTGGAGGCATTCAAATATTAAAGGAGATACAGGTAAATAGTTATTTACACAACTTGAAACACCAGTATTGTGCTGGATAGATACATGAGCTGCACAGGTGTGGGAGGAAGAATGGGAGTATAAAATATATAAGGGTTTGAAACAGGATATTTGTTCATGAGCATTTACCTTTGCTACAAACATACTTATGAATGGGATGGGGCATGGTGTGGGTAAAATGATGAAAACTTCTTAGATATTATTAAACATCTTAAGGCAATGAGTTGCTGGGCCTGGGGGCTGAGGCCCATAATCTCAGGGAACAACCTGGTCAATTGGTAAATATAGTCCACAAAGGCAGTGTGTTATATTCTTCTTTGGTGAGTAGATCTGGAATTTTAAAAGCTCATGAAGGGCCATCTAAGCAGCACCTATTGATCTCTCCATGTATATAAGAAAGAAGAGTGAGGAGAGTTGAAGCTGCTTGGAATCAATTAGTCTAAGACTAATGGAACATGTGAACGTCGGACTCCACAACCAGAAGAGCTAGATGGTGCCCAACTACCACTACCCGAGGCATGAATCGGATCACATTAGAAGGTCCTGGGTAGAGTGGACAAAAATGTGGAACAAAACTTAAATTATGAAAAAAGTCCAGGCTTACTGGTCAGAAAAAGACTAGAGGAACCCAAGACTACAGCCTTTACCATTCTTCAGGTCTAGAAAGGAACTCACTCTTGTGGGCTCATTCTCAGGCAAGCCGTGATATGTATATAGGTGGGAACAACAACACTGATAGGTATGCTCACCATGGAATGGCTATTCATTCAAAACCAAAAGGACAACATTGACCTAAGGACAGAGTTGAGAAGGGACAAGAAAGTGGGTGGAACAGAAATAGAAACCACAGGAGGGGAAGCAGGATAACTATTGTTGCATGAAGAGGATTGCAGGCATTGAGGTGAAATAAGGTATATGATTTATTGAATGTAAAAGTGATTATCTTGTCAGTAAACCTTCACTGTATTCACAATAAAAAAGTTTTTTAAAAAATAAGCTAAAATTAAATTACATATCATCAATAAGCAGAGCCCTTAGTAGATTTTATTTTTTAGTGAAAGCTTAGAAGGCAAAAACGCAGTCTATTTTATTCGTAATTTGTCAATAGTCCTTTGAATTAAATAGAAATATGGGTTAGATGCAAAGAAACAAGGTTATAATAAAAAGGTCTGATCAAGTAAATATGCTTTAACTTTGTATTGAGATAGTTACCATTCAAAAGAGTTCTTGTTTTTTGCATTTTTAAAAAACAATAACATTCTGCATTTATTCTGGTTAAATTCTAATATTCTTTTATCTTATATTTTCTTGCAAGATAATAGTTGGAGAAACTGCTGTATTTTGCCTACAACTAGCTACAAGAGATTTTGAAAACCAAGAAAAAACTATTTTAACTGGAGACTGTTGCTATATAAATCCACTGGTGCGCCGAACTGTCCGATTTCTTGGTATGTGCTTATTAAATTGTTTTTATTATTGTTGAAAAAGTGTTCATATGTTAACTAAACTTTGAAATTAACACAACATTTTAAGTGTATGCAAATAATGGATTATCTTGATTTTTAAATGTTGCAATTTGGTTTAAAAAATAAGCATTACCTACTCCTTCCTCTCTAATACTGTGACATTCTACTCAGAGATGCCATTTGTATCCACATTTTTTTTAAGGGAAAAAATAGTACTATGTTTTAAAATTAAGATTGCCGTAATTAACAGAAGTCACTTATTATATTTATGAAATTTCAGAAGCAGTGCTTTGGGAAAAAGTGATATTCCAGATAGGACATTGAACATCATTAGCAGCAAAAATAATACCTTATTTACTGTAAAAATAGAAGAAATGATGTATTTACTAACAACCAGATATAGTACTCAATGAGATGCTTCTGAGTTGCTTTTTATGTAGACTCTCTCCCCCCAAAAAATGTATTGGCAATTTTATTAG